TCCATTGATCCCCCAACTGACATCAGTTTGTGATGAATACCAACTCGAAAATTTTTCTAAAGCCAGAAAACCCCCTTCAAAATTCAAATAATTAATAAATCAATATATTGTATTCACATCAGTTTTTGAACATGAGAAAAGCCACTTTAAAGGTATAACCATGTTGATATTTGTGATGCCTCATTTTTGTACAAAACATTGTTGTTTATCTGAATATTTTAACGTGTCATTCCCACACCATTTTTGCTGTATAACTAGCGGTCTACTTTCCGCCCCTTTGTAATGTAAGTCGCTAATTGGTTGATCTTTACTCTTGCTATTCAACTGCCTCAAATTGAGGACAAGGTCACTTTTCATGTGTGTACTTATTCACGTGTTTCGGATTGAATTGTTATTATACTCTCAGAGTAATAAACTCTCCCACCTGCCAGCCCGGTCTTCTCTCTATTCGTCTCGGGGTTGCAGTCAGTGGCCCTTGCGTACTAAGTTGGCTGCCAGCTAAGCGTGCGTATCATATTCGTTACGCAATATATATATATATATATATATATAGTAACCATTAGCGTTCAAAAGCATAACAATATATTTTGAAAAATTTACATTTTACGGGTCCTCAGTGTTTAAGGTGGGACTTAATTAAACACCACGAAAACATCCGAAGATAGTGCTGGTTATGAGACAATGAAAAAACATGGCTTTTCGGCGTCTGCAAAGTGATGAAGTTTAGTGGACAATAAATATTACGCTCATATAGTAGACACAACCTCATATGATGAGGTTGACATGAGAGATACCAGTTCACAAGCATCGTCAAATTGATAATTCTTGAAAGTTGACAAAATGGCATTGGGTACTGGATAACTCACACACCAAGCCATTGGTGTACATAACCTCATTAAAACTTGATGCAAACCGTGAAATGGGCATGGTTTTTTATTGCCCATCACACAGGTAGGTTCCACTATTAGTAACAAACGCGTGCAATGTTGGAAGTTTGCGCCATAACCAGTCGGCATTTATAGCCCGTCTGCATAGTCTGTTATTTAGTAATATGGCCGTCTAATCATCAGACAGTTCTTCAGTTTTTGGCCTCGCTAACCACAACGGACCCACTTTTGCAATCAGGAGCAGCGGTGAGTATCCGAAGTTATATAACCAAGGTGAGTGTCTAAATCAATGTATATGCAGTTCACCGTGTTACATTTAAAGGTAATATGAATCAATTGCACTGGGACTACTTGTTTCGGTGGGTGGAAATAGATGTTGGAACGGTTAGTAGTCCAAATGGCAGTATTCATAAGCAGGCTCCCGGAGGGGAATACAGTATACATTAGGTTAATTATACTGAGGAGGGGAACCAGTACTCACACTCTTGTATCCAGTCGTAATCACCTCCGGAGTTCTTTACCAGTCTTGTTTTTGAACTTGCTTGAATATTAGAACCTATGGTTCTGTTGTGAATCTTTTTGTTAAATCGGATATCAGCGCTTGTCTACCAGTTTAATATTTCCTTGAACAAATTCTGGCACTACTTACGAGGTGGTATTTTTTGTACGTTGATATTTTTTGTCAAAACTATGCTAAGTTCTTTCTCCTCAAGCTTGCACCCTGGGGAGAAGGCGAGGCATGTGAAATGCTGCACCGCCATCTAAGATGCAGGTTATGAAGATGTTAAAGTGATTGTAGTATATCGAACCCCTGAATGTGATGCAGAGGACTTTCTCCTGAATAAGCTGACCTTTCAAATAGACAACTACCGATGCCTAGTAGTGGTAGACTCCAAAGTACCATCTGCTGGCTTGTACGCAGCGACAACAGGAGCATCACTTCGCTCGTTTGATCATCAGTTTCCTTGACTAACATACAGCACATTACGGCAGCAACCGGTTTTGATCACGAGCATGCTCGATCACTTGTAGACTAAGTAGTGCCACACACAGACGGCGTATGCTTCATCCGGCATCTTGCACCTTATGATGAAAGCGATCATGCCGTGACCATCTTCAGATTCACAGCAGCCGCTCCAAGCCAGGCCGATGTCCTAGCGGGACCCAGTGTGTGGAAAGCGAACACGGCATTCTCTAACTTTGACAGACTGGGGATTAAATCTAGAATCCTCCGTTAGAGGTACATGGCGCTCATTCGAACGGTTATGTACATGAGTGACTCAGCAGTTCGTTCCGTAGACCAACTCGAAAGAACGGGAACATTGCCCCCACGGTTAAACCGCGGAATCTGAATCTTGCTACGACGTGAACGGAGTGTTAAAGCTTTGCCATCTACCTCGGTACTCGCAAGGCAATGAAGCATTACAAAAAAGCCGGAAATAACTGTGTTGCTGGTATCTGCTGGTCTGGAATGTGTCTCGAATCACATTCTGCCGAAGCCGAACTTCAAAATCTATATATGAACTTCAGGAATGAGACGAATCGTGGTATACCACCCTTACAAAGAAACGCCGTCGAGTAAAACCCAAATGTGAAGCGACGAGTTGGGCGTCCAAGGGTGACAGGGGGAGGTCGTGCGAGGAAGAGATGAAAGCTTATGGGCAGTCGCGGAGCCGGGTTGAGAAGAATGCATAAAAGAGAGTGAAATGGCGAGGTGGTACTCAAGTTACATGTTCTACTGGGAGTCCAAAGGAAAAGTTAAAAAACAGTGAAAACAGAGACCGGTTTTCATTGAAGAGACCATAAGATATTATGGTGAGGGCTTTGCTCAGGGACGTTGCGTAGGTTTTGATTCAATATTAGAAACATCGGCATCCACCAGAATAAACTCTGCGGATGCCGACCGCAGTGTCGTGTTTTTGATATAAAGTACTGTCGAAGCAAATAAATCAGCGGGACTGGATGAGAAGACCCGAGGCTGCTGAGAGAGCTTAAGCTATTTCTGACTTGGCTTTTGTCTGCTATACTTATACCGCACGACAGTGAGGGCACACTCACACTAATCGAAGGGAAAGAAACTACCTATTTGATTGAAGAGGAAGAGGGGAAAGTTAAGTCTGCGGCCTGATATTTTGCTGGGATATCTACCCAGGAAACGTCAACGGAAACAAATTCAGCAGTAGAAACATTGACCATCGACAAAATTTACTCTGTGTCCATCGACTGCAGTGATACGTTGAAAACATTTATTACTCAGTGTGTCGCAATAGCAACAGTGCCGAAAGGGCTACTGCAGTATTTTCTTAGGGCTTGCACTATTTGTGACTTGGTTATTGCCTTCTACGTTTAGGCTGTCAGCCAGTGAAGACACACTGCCCTGTGGTTGGAAGGATGCCGCGGTCAGGCCCATCTAAAAGGCATGTTCTAGTCAGCACCCATCGAATTACAGACCGAGAAGCCTGACTAGTGCTGTGGTAAAAATCCTAGAAAGGGTGGTCAAGAAAGCCATCGCAGTTCGCCCAAGAAACAACATTCTATCTTTTCGTTGTCAACATGTCTTTTGCAGAAATGTCTCCTGCTTGCTGAACCTTCTCATAGACAGGGAAAGTTAGGTTAATTCTAGGAATGATGAGATGCCTGTGGATGTCATTTCCATAGAAATTATCGAGGCCTCCAATAAGGTACTGGATTCCATGTTGACCGGAAGTTTGGAGAGTTCTGGAATCACTAGTAGTCTACTTGGATGGGTGAGAAAGTTCCTTGCTAGTAGGAAACATAGAGGAAGGAGCAATCTGCAGCTATCCATTTGGAAGTTAGCAGGAGGAAGAATACGGAAAGGCACAGTCTTAGGTCCCATACTCTTTCTCCTGTGTACAAATGAACTGAGGAATATCAAAAAATCCTATACGGTTCTCCATGCAGATGATGTAAAACCCTGGTGAGAAATTGAGGATGACAGCGTTATAAGTACATTCAGACGGACCTAAGCATCTTGTCGACTTGGCCAGAGAAATGACTGATGCCTACCAGCGCAGACAAGTGCGTGAGAATGCAGTGTATCGTGCGGGTGGATACGACTGCGATATTGGTTGAACTCCTCTACTGTCCGTACTGACCTCAAATGGCCTTGGAGGTGCACTAAAACATGACTTGAGGACCACGGCGCACTGCCCACTGGTTGCACATCGGGCGTTACGACACTTTGAGTACTGTGTAGAACGTCTACAAAAATCAGTAGTGTGGTGTTCCCTGCCTCATACACATCTTTAGTTATGTCTGAGCTGGATAACTGTACACAAGCGCCAAGTCCTTGTCTGAAAGGTTACTCGGACATTTCGGAGGGTCCAGAAGACAGTTACACGTATGGTCCCCGTGATAACTAACGTGACCTTCAGAGAACGCCTAAAGAGCTGAACCTCTTCTCTTCAACTTATCACACACAGATAGATCTGATCATGCTGCACAGGATTTTAGGAAATAAAATTAGGTCCTATAATCCTTCTCTCTTCCTCCCATCAGTTAGGATCGCCGCGGATGGCACAACAGGAGAATGAAAGGCAAAGGACGTATGCAGTCTCTGTGGAGTTATGGTTTTGTCGTCCAGCAGTCAACTCTTGGGACCGATTTCCCACAGAAAATGCTCACACCATCAGTTGGCCGGTTCAAAAGGGAACTGAAAGAGCAACGACGTCTACTGACAACGATTTGTAACAGGCTAATAACTTTCCATTCCTAGACTTGAATTCCGAAGAACATGCTCACTTAGCAATAAATATTTTGGTCCTCAGGGTGTTGTGCTGAGGAGGATGTAATGGAACCTGGATATTTATTACGGAGTCGAACAGCGAAAAACAATTTTTCTTTTCTTGAATTTATAATCTGCTCTCAAATTATCCTCTCAGCACGAAGCTTTATTTTTTCCTTCTTCATTTTAGTAAGCGCATCTTGACTTTTCCACTGGCTGTGGAATTTATGTTTTGTTGATTTCTGAAACAGTTTCTCATGTCGGATTTGAGACAGTCACTCAATAGTAAGTTTGAAGGAGGTGATTTGGCAGTTACTATTTCTCGTCTCCTTAGTTTGGAGTTATAATTGTTTAAGTTAGCATAAGATGACTTAATCGCGGTTATTCAACGTTAGATAGCCACATGGATTCCTTTGATGCTTATGGCCCAAATTCTCAGGCCCTAACGTTTTTCGACCCTGAAGAAAATGATCTAATAGGTGGAGATACTCAGGGGCCGGATTACGACTGTTCCGATTTTACTCTGCCTTCGCAGTCACAAACACAGGCGTCTCAACTTGATTCCGACAAAAATTGTTTTTCCCAGCAGGTACGTTGTGATCTTGATTTAACTTATGCAAAATTAGCATGACGATTCAAACAGCATAAACATCCTTTCCCAACGTGTGGCAGACATTGACTTCAAGGATGACGATGCCGATTCCAATACCGTTCTTCCAGAACATGCATGTGCTTACTGCGGTATTCATGATCCAGCATGTGTGGTATTTTGTAACACTACAAAGAAATGGTTTTGCAATGGCCGTGGAAACACATCTGGAAGGTTAGTCCTATGCTTTTCTCACTCCTTTTAGTCATATTATTAACCACCTCGTGAGAGCACGCGCGAAAGAAGTAACATTGCACAAAGATGGACCCTTGAAAGATACTCTTCTGGAGTGCTATGTTTGCGGATCAAAGAATGTGTTTTTGCTTGGTTTTGTGCCAGCAAAGTCGGAGTCTGTCGTTGTACTGTTATGTCGTAACATCTGTGCAAATGCTAATAAGGATATGTACTGGGATCCTACTCAGTGGCAACCCATAATTCAAGGACGTCAGTTTCTTGCATGGCTTGTCAAGGTCCCTACCGATGAGCAACAAGCAAAAGCCAGACAAATATCTGCTCAGCAAATTAATCGTCTCGAGGAAATGTGGAAGGAGAACCCGCAGGCTGCAGTAGAAGACCTCGAAAAGCCTGGGGCTGACAAAGAAGTAAACCCGGTATTGCTAAGGTGGGCTGTATTCTCATGATCATCGTTCGCTTTAGGTACGAGCATTCAAGGCAGTATCGAGAAGTATTTATCCCCTTAGTTCAACTGGAGGCTGATTATGACAAAAAGATCAAAGAGTCACTAAAACTCGAAAATGTGTCCGTCCGTTGGGAGACAGCCCTTAACAAGCGTCGAATGGCTTACTTTCGTATTCCTGGGGCAAATGAAGGTTAGTTCATTCCGGAATACAGAAAACTGAAAAGTGTTGTTCTTCTGTGACTTCGCCTTACCCTTGTCGTTAGTTTGTGTGACAATCTGTACTTGTCTACCGTTTTTTACTTGTGTGTATACACTACTGGGGTAATACTTTTTCGTTTGCCTATGTGACATCTCGAATAAGAAATCGACCAAGATGTTGCTTGGAAAGCGAGCGAGCACGCAAAATCCAAAGGTCGAATACAAATATCAAATCTTACAGATTAGAGAAAAACAGAGAACCTAAGTGCAAATGGGTTTCTGAAGGCAGATTTAAATCATATTGCTGACATCAAAAGTACACACTAACTGGCTATAAGTTGCATTGTATCAAGTTTGCTCTATAGTGGATTGCTTAGGGCATCTCTACTAAGTAAATTTTCCGGTTCGCATGGTGGATCATCCTGTAAATTCAGTGTATCTTTGTTGTTTCGTATAGCAAAAGATCGTATCTATTGTGAACTCATAAAATCGATTGTTTCCTTGAATATTCAGAAGATTCGGCTAAAGAAGTCATTTCTTACTGCAAACCGTCTGCACTGTAAACATGCTACTCCTCAGTGAGCTGTCGTGGTACCTGAATTGTTAATTTGCATTTATCGTACCTCCCGGATCTAAGTAGAAAATACTGTGCGTCGCAACTTTGCTTACTATGACAAACTAGTGTTGGTAGAACTAGAATCGCGCACCCACCTCCATGCGCTTCTTGGCAACTTTAACCGATGCACTCGTATGCCAGGTTCTACACTGATATCAGTCAGTAAAATCTGGCAATCCTTCGGCAACTACTAAGTGACCTTGGGTGCATGAATAAGACGGTCGACTCTAGTTTTAAATCAAAAATGATAGGGAACTCTTATCAAACGTGGGTTTTTAAAAATATGCAGTAACTTCGACTGCTTTTTTCTGCGTAATGTACCTGCGATGAAGGTATCCATATGACTACAAAGCTTCAAACCGCATGAACTATGGTATGGGCATAAACAGTTTTTCAACTGGACCCCTAGTGCCTCTTTTAGATTTATATTCATGGTGTAAAATAGTTATCGATTCACTTTATGCCGTACTTTCGTAAGTCAAACTCAGGGTTCTGGGGAACCATTTACTACAACGGATGTATTCCAAGTGTTCTGGAGATGTTTGTTGATCCTTTAAGGGACCCAGATACTCACTATACCTCACCTAAACTATAGTCTTTTGTATCAACATATAGGTAGGGTTATGTAGTTTTTGAATATATGGGATGTTTTAAGTTATGCCATCTGTATCCTAAACCGAAACTGGTACGACGTGGCACAAATGCAATTTCACAAAATTAAACTCCATCTCAACTACCACATGAGTGTTGTGATGCCTAAGTCACCGCATTGCCATACTCGATTTTCAAAAGAGCATCATGCCGTTACTTAAAATGGCTCATACGTTGGAATAACTGACTGATTCTCTTCAGGAAAGTTGTAGGTTCATTTTTGGCACTAACAGTCTATTGTTAGGTTAAATAATATCTCAGCCACTTGCCAAACGTATTTTTAGTAATTTAGATCACGTTTTCAGTTACTGTACAGTATTTCAACGATCAGTGACAAGCGCAAGTCCCTTCACATCTGATGTTTCGGTAACTTTTGTCTATAAAGTTGAAATATTAATTTAAACAGTTGGTGAAAACCTTGTTTTGCTTATCGTTTTCATTTCAACTTCCGAAATATGAGCGCGATTATAAGGCTAATAATGTTTCCTATTGATTTTCCCAGGTCCTGAACTACGCATTATGCATGGCGATGAGTTAATTATGCGTCAATTTAACAGCGCAAACGACTATTTAGTTGGTATTGGCCATGTAATCAAAGTACCAGATAGTAAGTTAATGATAATGCCCACTTAGCGTACGAGTGTTATGGGCTATGTACAAATAACTGATTACTTCTCATAAAATTACCTTGTATGCATGCGCTGCTGTGTTCACTCGTACGAGTATTATGATTACAAATAAGTAATAATTGTAATTCTTCTTGCAGTGGGATTATATGCTCATAAGTCGTTACATTTTAGTTATACACTAATTTGTAACAAGCATTTGAGGTTTTTTTTTTATATGATGTGCACAGTGATTTCGATTGCGTTTCCATTTGGAGGAATTCAGGAATCCATTAGTTCGGAAATAACCATACTTCATGAAGGATTTCCAAGAAGCCGGGGAGGATAGTAATATGTATATTAATTGAATCTTGACAACGCTGTAAATGGTCTTTGGGATTGAAATTTTGATTAGCTTGGGTTCAAATATATCCACTTTGTGCACATCGGTGTTATATTCAGAAAGTACACTGGTGTTCGGTAGTAGTTATCAGATCACAATAAACCGCGTATTCTTGCTACAACCGCAGTCACTACTTTGCATCTCTACTAAACTGATCATATTAAAAGCTTAGATTGTTGTGTTATCAAAAGTTAGTATGAATTAAGAATCTAGAATTTTGCAAGTTGTCAGTTTTAAGGGATTAGATTACCTTTTTTAATACCCTTGGAGTTATCTATTATGTATAATCTCAATGTAAAATGAAGGGACGATACTCGTGATGTCATTATAGGGCACTGAATTGATTTGTGGTCGCTTAATTTGTAGCCAGTAAGATGGAGACGCTGATGCTTCTACATGAGAAGCTGAGCGAAATGTGCAGCCTTCATAAATGCGATTCATAGTATGCATGGCTGAACTTTTTCCTAACGTTAAGTTGGTGCGTTCACTGTCCTAGTTGGGAAGTTGTATTTCTATCAAAGTAAAATTCGCGGGTAATTACTAAACAATGACAAGATGAAATGTGTAGGGATACCTGTTGGGCCACATATGACTTCACACCTTTGTGCTGTTTGAAAGTTTGCCAACCCTAGCTCACACTGTGTAAAGTCATTTGTTAGCCCAGTCGGTTATTTCCTTCCTTACCTACCGAGGCCTTATCAGCCTAGCTGTTTCACTATCCCTTACACGAATGTGCACACAATTAACAAATTGCATTTCATTTTTTCCCGTGAATATATGTTTATCCGATGATTTTATGTGGTAGTACGGTTAGTGATTCAAGTCATTCAGGGGTTTACACGAAACTTATTTGTAGACATTTTAGTAGATGCAACTGGTAGTTTCTTCGAAAGTACTTTGTTTCAATCTTAGTGATTTGCACTGGGGGAACCTGTTGTTAGCATACTGGCGTCTCCAAATATAGCTAGTTAACTGCGGTAATTGCAAATCTTGCCCAGGCTATATAAGGATAGAAACATTCCCTTGCCTTCGTCACTGGCATTAAGTCGAACTAAAAATTCCGTAGTATGAATTGTTGATATGGGACTCAGGCTGGATGAAAACTTAGTTGTTTTGTGAGTACTTACCATTATATGTGTATGTATATTTGTACCAGATATGTTATTAGTTGTTCGAGGGACTTTACACATGTAAATGTGTATCCGTCGCTCCATGTTACCGACAGAAGTGATAAAAAAATGTGTTATTTCGATTTCAAAGTTTAATGAACTAAGTTAAATTTAAGATCACATAAATTGTTACTGATTCCGAACGTACCTATAACTCTCTTTTCAATTCAGGTTTTAGCGACGAGGTTTGTTTAGAAATGAAGCAAGTCAGTGATACACCTTTAGAATCTGTAACTTACAAAATCGAGTTCAAGTGGAAGTCAACTCCATTCGACAGAATGAAAATGGCAATTTTAGCTGTCACAGATGAGCAACGTGGTTTGTTACCACCGTATATATTTTATCGGTTACTGGGGCAAGAGTTAGATGATATGGTGTTAAAATGCAACCTGCCTAAGCGCTATTCTGCACCAGACTTGCCAGAACTCAATCATAGTCAAGTGTTTGCTGTTAAGACAGTTCTTCAGCGTCCACTCAGTCTAATACAAGGTCCACCTGGGACAGGAAAAACCGTAACTTCTGCTTCCATAGTATATCACTTGAGTCGGATACACCAAAAGAAAGTCCTAGTTGTTGCTCCTAGCAATACAGCAGTCGACCAGCTATGCGAAAAAATTGATCGAACAGGATTAAAGGTTGTGCGGCTTTGTGCAAAATCTAGAGAAGCGTTGGCTTCTCCTGTTAGTCGTCTTATGTTGCATATACAGGCTCAGAATGTAAAAGGACATACTGAACTTCGGAAACTACAACAGTTGAAGGATGAGACTGGTGAGCTGAGTCAGGATGATGATGAACGGTATCAAGCTTTGAAACGTGAACTTGAACGTAAGTTTTGAGAATTCCGTTTCGTGATTTAATGTCCATTAAAATGTTTCAATGTCTCTACCAAAGTTTAAGTAGCCAAATAGCCTATTACAAAAAACAGCGAGTGTGGTTGATTATTTGTTACGTGAATCTGTTGTTGCATTGCGAGAATTTTGCCACTCACCGACCGCTTCAAGATAAGACAAAAATGTATGACGAAATATATCATTCATTTGTAGGTGAATAGTGTTTATAACATTTTTTAGGTCTTGCAAAATGCTCTGGTTCTCAGTACTGTGGATAATTTCCTATATTTGCAAGAGATTTAGATAGAAAGGCGTAGTTGCGATTTGAAATCTTTCCAATGGTATGTTTTAGGTTAGTCTCATTGGTTGATGATTGATTGATGAACCCTAAATTCATGTTCTGCTTTATTTTTACTTGAGCCTAGATAAGTAAGATAAAAGCTCCAACCGTCACAAGTTTAGCTAATAATCTATTACGTAGATTTGTACCGGGTTGAGTTCTAAAGTTTTCAGAATACCTTTTATGCCCTCCTGTCGTTGACATAAACTGGTGCATAGCTAACTGAGAAAAGGGTTCAAATATTTTCGTTTCACTCACTTGAAGTGGCGATGTTAAATGTTCAGTGAATCCAAAAATGTCATCGTGTATATCGTATATATCAAAGGTTCCTAATCACAAAGAATTTTAACAAAAATTTCCGTATACTTTTATAACTAATCATTTCTTATGATACTTTTCTTTATTGCGCGATATGGCTGTGAAAGAAGTGAAGAGGTCATACGAGTTTGACTGTAGGTGACTAGGCGTTAGCCACGTGTGGGAGAACCGCCATATGAGGAGTGTCGAGTTTAGATGTAGAGAATTGGGCGAAAGCACACCCAAAGTAGGGTTAGATTAGAGGGCAAGCTGACTGATATAATCATCATGAAATCTTGCACATACTTGCATCGGCTCAAGTTGCAACACCAATGTAGTACACAAAAAACAAATGGATAGACAAAGTCCTATCAAGCAAAATAAAGTTGTTTGGGAGAATAAAAAATCTGAAGATATGAACCTTTTCCTTTTCACGAATCAGTATATTTGACCACAAACAGAGTCAACGCAGGACCTCGCGAACAAATACATCGGTTCAATTTGCCACATTTCACAGTAGCCTTAAAAAAATGAGTGATATCAGAGCTATGACAGAATAAGCAACACAAGCTACGGACCAGTGCAAATTATTCAGGCATTAGAAAACGTAAAAGGGAAAAACATCTGCCAGCGGTTTCCGGATGCCACAGAGTACGCGCACAACGACTTCCTTCCTCTCAGATACCACAAAACGGAAGTACCTATCTCACAACCTTTCTCAGAAGGTGCATCGATCATATTTTCATCTTCCGACAGGTTGTGGAAGACAGACATACCTTCCGGCCAGTGTCCAGCACTTGGCATATTTCTTGACCTAGAGACATCACTCCACTCTGTCGACCACGAGGTGTTGTGGCAGTGTCTGACTGTGAAGGAAGTATTAAACAGGCATATAACGCTAGTCACGGCTCTCCATTCGAACCCATGCAGTCGTATCTCAGGGCTTATGGACATTTATCGTGTACATTGATGACAACCAGTGGTGTTCGCTAGGTGAAGACGCCGACGCAATGAAGGGTCTTGTGAAGGTGTTGAGCAGAAATATGTGTATATTTGGTATGCGTTTCACACGTGTTAGATGATGCTCCAGGAGTGGTCTACTACAATACTGCGTTTAATGGTAGGGAGGGAGTGAAGTGGTGGAATGTGTCGAATGCTTCACCCACTTGGGAAGTTGCATCAGCCCACCGAACGGGGTGGTTGCTGACGAAATCTCAGCTCGAATATAAAGCGTGTTTGTCACTTGCGTCACTTGTGGTACAGAATGGTGAGATATCTGACTAGTGTATCAAAGGACGAGTATACTGTGCTGCAGTTGGTTGTGTCTTGTTGTAGGGCTGTTAGACAGTTGTTTGAAATAGAAAACACGAAGGTGTTGAGCAAAAATCTGTGTATGTTTGGCATGCGTTTCACACCTGTCACATATTAGGTAAGATGATGCTGGAGGACAAGTCTGCTGCCAATACCGACAGTTCGAAGAGTGATTGAAAAAACTCACGTAGGACCTCGTACACAAGTGCATCCTCTAAAGTTGGCGCACTTCACAATAGCATGAAAAGAACAGGCGGATAGAAAAGGAGTTATGTCAAAGTAGATAAATTAGTGTGAGACAATAAACTATCTGAAGATAATTAATAGGAAAATCTAAGCTTTAGCAAATTGCCAATTTTCTACCATACCACCAAGAGACGCCGACCACTAATTCCTTTTCTCTTGGGGACCCCAGATAGATCGATTTCTCCTCACAGGACTCGAGCCAACAGTGAGGGACTTCAACTGGTTCCACGTCATACGACGAAGGTCCAAAACCTCATCAATCAACTTCCCTAGAATACTTCAGCATTCTTCCCACGATGATTCCACCACACGCGAGCAATGCTACGAAGACATCTATCATCAAAATCCCTTAGTCGCTTCATCTCGTCTACTTCAAACAACTGTCTAACAGCCCTACAACAAGACACAACCAACTGCAGCACAGTATACTCGTCCTTTGATACACTAGTCAGATATCTCACCATTCTGTACCACAAGTGATGCAAGTGACAAACACGCTTTATATTCGAGCTGAGATTTCGTCAGCAACCACCCCGTTCGGTGGGCTGATGCAACTTCCCAAGTGGGTGAAGCATTCGACACATTCCACCACTTCACTCCCTCCCTACCATTAAACGCAGTATTGTAGTAGACCACTCCTGGAGCATCATCTAACACGTGTGAAACGCATACCAAATATACACATATTTCTGCTCAACACCTTCACAAGACCCTTCATTGCGTCGGCGTCTTCACCTAGCGAACACCACTGGTTGTCATCAATGTACACGATAAATGTCCATAAGCCCTGAGATACGACTGCATGGGTTCGAATGGAGAGCCGTGACTAGCGTTATATGCCTGTTTAATACTTCCTTCACAGTCAGACACTGCCACAACACCTCGTGGTCGACAGAGTGGAGTGATGTCTCTAGGTCAAGAAATATGCCAAGTGCTGGACACTGGCCGGAAGGTATGTCTGTCTTCCACAACCTGTCGGAAGATGAAAATATGATCGATGCATCCTGGATCAGGTCTGAAACCTGCCTGGTTTTCTCGAGTTCCAGTTAGGCGTCGGATAACTATAGACCCTAGGATATTGGTCAAGCTATTTCCCCTATCGTTGTCACAAGCAGATCTCTCCCCCTTCTTATAAACTGGGATGATCAGTGAAGTAGACTAGTCCAACGGCAACACCTGATTCCTATATACTACCTAGTACCTTCCTCACAATTATCAGCTGTTTCCTACCTCCACTTTGAGTGGCGAACTGTCAGGTCTTGCTGTTTTGCAACGTTTTAGGTTCGACACAGCTGATTTGTCGTTTGTAGGCGATGATTATGAACAGGCATCGCCTAGTTTTACGATCCTTTCTAGTTCTCACAGATTCATCCAGCCGAACACCATAGAGACGATTGTAAACTAGTATGCAGTCGGGAAACGCACTTCCTGCCCTACAGCTCAATGCTATACCTACACCAGTAAGTTCACGAGTGCTAACCACTGGGCCCTCGGATACTCTTAAGGTAAGATTTGAAGATTCACCGCACTGGTCAGGTGAAATTAATTTAATAATCACACTTGAGTCATGTAAACGTGTCTCAGAGACAGCATACATGCATGGCTAGAGGTTGGAGAGTTCTGGTGAACGAGGCTTGCGGTCTGATTCGGTATACAGTTCGAACGTTGAAAGCTCCTACATGAAATCGATGACGGGGTGAAATTTCGATAGCTTTGATCATTGGCAATGGCTGCAGGGTGGTAGGTTGGGTAGAGCATTACAGGATTAACATTAGTATCAGGAGGCAGTTGAGGAATATAGGTTGTGTTTGATTGAGTCGCGTTTAATGCTGGAAGCGTGTAGGCTTTTGGTACTCCTCGGTTCCCACACCATGGAAGACCAGTTCTTCTTAAGGTACCTGAAGAATAAGGGAAATTCTGTGACCGCAGACTTCAAAGGACATCTGCTTAAGGCCGGTCACACACCGCCTTTTGGCAATTTTGAGATTTCAGTGTTTTCCTCTTGAATCCGACTATGAAGGCTTGTTGCTGGCATCGGGGTGTCACGAAGGGTGGGAGTGTTATTTTTGTGGCTGACCTTTTATAACCCCCGTTGCCGTTGAGAAAGGAGCATCAGCGTGGCACTGTTGGTCATTCAACGGAAACACCTTACTGCTACCACACCCCATCCAGCTAGAAGCAGTACAACTTCGCTCTGAGACCCCCATCGTAATGTAGTGATTTAAACTGCAACGATAACTGCTTTTAGTCTCGCCACTATCCATCAGACCTTTCTGGTATGGTAGGACCTCTAGTGAGTAATCGTTCCAGCCAGTGTAGCTCGTTGGGTCATTGTAAAAGGCAAGTTCGACCACCACGTCAGGTTAACAGCCATTGCTCAGGAGTTCCGGATAATAAAGACATGGTGGTCATACTAATAGGTGCACCTATGTATGGAACCTTTGATTGTTGTTAATCGTGTAGGCTGTTTAGTTTTAGTCCTAGAAATGTTACGGAGCTAGAATGTAGGGTCTATGGTGGCTCAAAATCACTCTCGATAGCGCACGTGCAGATACGTTTAGTCATTTTTAGAATTTCGAATAGTATCAACAACCTTCTGTTTTTTTTCATCATTTTTGTCCATCTCAGTGTTCTTTTATATTCACTTCTGGGTGTTTCTGTGTTGATTCTTTCGTCTTAAAACCACAGCTTATAACTGACAATTTTTCTCGAGGCTGTAGCGGTATGTCAGTGGACTTCATTACTCTTGATGAATGTATATTGTCACAGAAGTATCAAACATGGCATTTAAAAACCGGCGGAAGTTTGCACAGTATTTATTTTAGATATCAGGATTGTTTGTCAGCATTTTAGACAGTTAATCTGAATTTAATTTTGTACCTGTCAGACACAGTTTTTACGATAGTTTTTTTGAATCTTTACTTGGCATCGACTCTCACAAAGTGTAACGCAAGATATACAAGTAAATTATTAAAAGATGTTTGTTTCACACGTCAATTTTGTTACCGTATGCCTTTCCATTTTTCTACCAGGTGAAATTCTAATGGCAGCAGATGTAGTTTGTTGCACCTGTGTAACTGCAGGTGATGCTCGTTTGGAGCGCCTCAGCTTCCACTCAGTTTTAATTGATGAGTCTACACAAGCCACTGAACCAGAGTGTCTAATACCACTAATGGTGGGTTGTCGCCAAGTTGTCCTAGTTGGTGATCATTGTCAGCTGGGGCCTGTAATAACGTGTAAGAAGGCTGCTGCCGCTGGGCTTACTCAAAGTCTGTTTGAACGATTTGTTCTTTTGGGCATCCGACCCATACGCTTGCAGGTATGTTAATCAGCATAACAAACAGCCTAATCAATCGTTTTCGCGAGTCATGATTTTTTGCTAAGACACTAACCGACAGCCATTTCTAGAATTCAAAAATTCTCACGAACATTCCATTTTGAATTTCGCAGCAATAGCTGGTAAAAAGGTAAGGTCAGTGTTCCAATTAACATTTGGATTCAGTCAGATAGTCTGCATCAAAATGGAAAGTAGCGCTACTGCATAATAGGTCAATTTGACACATAAGTGCACAGACGTATAAAACGTTACGATAAAGACAAGAGTAAGTCATTAAAGTTAACACAGCAGTAAAGAGATAACAAGAAGGAATGGGGCAATAATAAAGATCAGTATGATCAGGTTAAACATAATGTAAAGGTAAATCTCTACCACCTGTTCGATTTTAAGTCATGCCACTTAAAGTCTGTAGTCACATGTCTCAGTTGTTACCTGGACCCGAACCGAGTAGCCTATATTTCTCTATCCAGCCCAGACCGACAGTCAGCGACTTCGTGTACTTAATAGCATATTTTCTTCTTACCGCCTCTGACCATTTTGCAGCCAAAACCTGCCTCAGGTAATATCGCGTAGAGTAGACGGTTTCTGGGCATGCGTTGTATATATCCCATCCGCTTGAGTCGAGGAAGGATCACAACTTTATCAACGGACTCATCTTTTCTGTCTGACGACTTCTACGCTTCTGACATGGTGACGCCATGATGCCCTACATTATAAAGGCGACTGTGGTCGAACACTTAAGGCCTTCTCGTGTCTTCTACCTTTATTGACCGTGTTTTACAGCCAAATGGTCAAACAGATGGAACTGCATTACAGTACACTCAGCCTTTATTAGACGATCGGATCTCATCGTGGTGCCATATATGGCCTAAGTTTACCCTTGGTTGAGGGTTTTTGGCAAATTTGTGTGTGCTGACAGAGGTGTGACCGATGACATGTTTTACTGTATGTAGCATGAGCTGTTCCAAATCAATGCAGCACGAAATACCACCTACTAGTCAAAATGAGTGTGCGTAACCTCGCTTTTAATTTTGAAGATACTTCTTGAGACTGATAAAGTATATTTTAACTAATATAAAAGTAAAACTTCGGCCCTGTGGTCTATTGTAAAGACTGTCTCAAAGTTGTGGATATGGACAGTAAATTGTATCCGAAACGTTATCCAGTGTATGCTACTGTTTCACTGTGTGATATTCCTAATAAACAGACTTAAATGGTATATTTTAACTAAAATGTACAGTCCCTTGCAAACAGTTTTCAAGGTTTTACCAAAAAACTGTAATCGAGCTCTACATCATGAAACTTGACTCTCAATAGTTAATTTTTAGCACTTATTTGTCTGCGAAGATTTCTTGTCTAACTGTTTGATATTTTTTGTCAAGGTACAATATCGCATGCACCCAGCGTTGTCTGCTTTCCCAAGCAACGTTTTTTATGAGGGCAGTTTGCAGAATGGGGTGACAGCAGAGGACCGTTGCAGAAAGATTGATTTCCCATGGCCGAATCAAGACAGACCTATGTTTTTCTACTGCACATCGGGACAAGAAGAGATTTCTGGCAATGGTGTATCATATCTAAATAGAACTGAGGCAGCAACTGTTGAGAAAATTGTCACAAAGCAAGTTCCTAAGTGCATTGTTTCAAGAGTAATCTTTTAATTGTGACTAAATTTACCGATGAAGGGATTCTTTTGTGTGTAATAGGTGGCGTATGTCGATGTGACATTAATAAAGCATAGTTTTAGTCCCGCTCTCACTTCCGAAGTAATTGCAGGCAATTTCATAGCGTAACTCATTCCACCATACTCACATATTTTCCTGAAGAATTTTATATCCTACTTATCATGTATGTTGATTATGCTTCTTTTACTGTTTCAAGTGGCTAGTTTAATAGGAACGCATATTTAGAAATAATTAAAAATAACTTGTTAAGAACAATTGGATCACGAGTTTAAGCCCCGCTTCACTTACCGAGGCTTGAGCGGCCAGATAGTGTTTCTAGCCCTCAATAAATGTAGCTCATTCCCTGTTGCACGGATGTGCACAAGATGGTTGAAAGCGTTTCGCTTTTCATCAGTTCACTTGAACCAGTTAACACTAATTATTTTTTAAATCTTCACAGGATGCTTAAAATTGGTGTTCATCCAAATACTATTGGCGTAATCACCCCTTACGAAGGACAGCGTGCTTATCTGGCTCATTATCTTCACTATTCTGGTTCTTTAAACGCTAAATTGTATCAAGAAATAGAAATTGCCAGTGTTGATGCATTCCAAGGTCGAGAGAAGGACTACATTATTCTTTCTTGTGTTCGAGCAAATGAAAATCAAGGTATCGGATTCCTTAATGATCCGCGTCGGCTAAATGTTGCGCTCACTCGTGCTCGCTACGGATTAATTGTGGTTGGGAATCCGAAGGCGCTTTGTAAGGTAATGCGTTCCTCTTTTGCAAAGAAACAGATTTTCCTTTGGTATTAATGGCAATCCTGCAGTATATTTACGACAATCTGTCTTAATTGCCCATATCACAGTGCATAGTCAGGATATATAGTGTAAATCGATCTTTATGTGGAATGCATAAAGCACCCTTGTAAGATCAATCTAGTAGACTATGTCGACATAAGGCGAGTTGTACTTAGGTGACCATGTGTCCTAAGATAAGTGGGGAGTAGAAGACAGCTGACCACACATTGTGTGAGGGTTAGTGATACTACCTGGCTGGCCAAACCTTGATAGGTGATGCGGGGTTCAAACCCCCCGGCCCACTGGTGGTTGATAGTCATTTCCTTAAACCACTGAGCCACAACCCCACAAGATAAATATTATTTTGGTAATATAAAATTCCATGTTCTATAGAAACCACTTTGTTGGTGATTTACCTTTTACATGATAATCACTACAAAATCTATACTTTTACAGCAACCGCTTTGGAACCAACTGCTTCACTTTTACCGTGATCAACACTTGCTCGTAGAGGGACCACTGAACAACTTGGGCGAATACATGCTACAGTTCCCCAGGCCAAAAGTTCCTTATACTTTCAAACCTGGTGGACATTATCTAGCCCACCTTTCTGCGAATCCCGCTTTGTTAAATAGCAATCAGTTAAACGGTCAATTGAATGTACATTCTGCAAACCAATTCAACTATCTGTCGCACGTTTCAAATTCATCTCAACCTTGTTTCGATAATCCCAATGGACCGACAGCCTTAGTAGCAGCAATGGCGGCTGCAGCTGCCGCAGCTTACTTTGGAGGTTCTGGTTCAAATGCTAGATCAAATGTTCCAACGTTGGGCGTACATGGATCTTCAACTCTCAATCAACCTGGAGCAAGTCACGCTGCAGCGTATGCTGTTGCAGCCGCTGCAGCTGCCCAACACCAGTCAAGCCAGTCATATTCAGGTCAGACAAATGGTGGTTCTCACAATATGCCACAGCTGTTAAACCAGTCTTTATTTGATCAAGTAGGATACATAGGACCAAACAGACAATATGCAGAGGCAAATGCCAGTTCAAGTAAGTGATCTGTTTAGTAGCACTATCCCACTACTTGGTGTCTCCTTTTAAAATATATAATCAAGATCTCAACCTTCAGAAAGTGTATCGAGTGCCCACATGTACTATTTTAGTGTTTAAATAAATTTAAGATCTGTAGGACACTATTTTAATTTCTTCATCGAACATGACAATACGGTCCAAACCGTAATTTCATCTTTTCATTGAAGTCATCAAGTGCGAACTCACGATGTGATGTCGCCTACTGACTCAGCGATATGCCCAGCTCCATTTTGCGTAAACAGCTTTGTAGTATCATGATTCCTCGCCTAACAAGTGACTCAACTTGGTACATAAACTTGAGTATGGAGGTGTAGCATGTTGGTCTGGACACTGAACTTTCAACCGGTGGGTCATAGGTTGGAATCTCGCTCCACCTGGCAAGATCTAAACAACTAGGTAGTATCATTAACCTTCACAAGCTAGGTGCGGCTCATTACCTACTGTACGAGCATGCATGTGGTTTCTGAGTGCACTTCGATTTTTATTTGGTATAAACATGTACTGCACTGAGTTGCAATATTATTTATTGCCGAAGTCATCAAGCTGAGCTAATTGATCTTAAGAGATGGCTTGTATTTAGTGATAATTAGTATGAGTTACAAACACGGTTAAGGCTTCACATTATGGGTTTCACACGTCAAAATTTGTCAGCAAAAGATGGGGATGAGTGCCAACCCATTACACCAACCACTAAAATAAAAATGAAATTTTGCCAGAGAGATCTCATTACTTGTTAAAAGACTAGCGTGCTACGTTGCTCTTTCTTATAAATGTGTTTCTGAAACAAAGCTACTGGAAAGAGATGCAGAAAAATGATATTTCAGACGAAAGGTTTTAATGCGGCATTGCTCACGTCTGATAGAATTGCTGTGTCAGCATTTTAAGGGTTAGCTACAGGGTACTGCGCAAGGCAGGCAAATCAACTGATGAGTCTGTAAACCTTCACTGTTCGTTGTGGCTTAAAAATATGTTACTCAAACCGTTCTCGAAGCGCAGCGTTGCCCACATCATGGTTGAGTTGGAAGAAGGCTCAGAGTGGTGGTCAAACTAAGCCGTGGCAGCAGTCAGCGGAATCTCTGGTTGTTGGTTCGAACCACATTGGGAGGTGTGGACTGCCTGGTTGGGATCCCCAAGACGATGGGAAGCAATGGTTGGAAAACTTTGGTGACGGCTAGATATCGGCACAATGGTGCAGGCATATTCACTCTTCGACGTTTTCAAATTTCTTTTCCGTCTGTGCGTTTATACCTACTTTGATACGACTATTATTTTGTTTGCTCTTTTCCTGAGTGTTATTGTGAAGTGTAGTAACTATAACCCGGTGAACTTCTGTTGGATGTCCTACGTTGTCACTTTTTCTGTTCAACTGCATATTTTCCCCCACTCATTTATCGGGATGCGCATGGTGAGTCAATTCATCAGTGCATGTTGACGATATCTAATAGTAGCATCGGTCGCTCTGAGTCCATCAGAAGTTCCGATTTCAGCACCCGCATGGCTTAACGATTTCTGCAAGTGACATATATGAACCTGTAGTCGAATGAATTAAAGGCTTGACTTTGAACTAGTTGGTCATAGATTCGAATATCGAGGTTTGAGAAACCAAATGGTATCATAACCCTTGCATTGATATTCTTTAGTAATGCATGTGATTCTACATTTAGCTGTCGATTTTTAAAAAATAATTTTTGTAGATCTTCCTATGCCACTAAGCATGCTTATGCCTGCTAGTCGAGTTTCAAATCCTTCAAATATAGCCAATCCTTTTGGTTCCTCTGGTCATTTTGGAAATGGCAAGTGCGGCACCAACCTGGGAACGGCTGCACCATCCGGTAGATCAGTTCAAGCATTGGGCTCTCTAAATATGCACACCAATCTCTCACAGTTAAAAACAGGAAGTACAAGAGCGCCAGGAGGTCCTCTTCCAGGAAGGACTAACGTTGGTTCTTCAGCACCTCGATACCTTGGGAACGTGCGCCGAAACCTGCAAACTAGTTCACAAAATGCTTCAACTGATACCTCAAAGTCACGCCAAGTTGATAGTGCTCATAACGTTTCGATGCAATGTAATCCTAATGATTCCAATTCCGGCGTTGGCCTTCTGTCTCAACCTGGTTTATCGGAATTCTCAGGAACACAGGGGACATCTAATCTTGGGACCCTCGGAGTATTCAGTAGCCAGTCACGTAATGCTGGACTTTCCGGCTTGTCTCAGGTAATTCGGAATCAGTTTACTTATAAATATATGCAAAACATTCCCGTCCAACTCAGTTCATACGTTTGTCTTGTACAAGGGATCTTGATTGTCAGGTATATTGACTAAGCACAAAGAATTCAATTGGAGATACAAGAATAAACACTATATGAGGTTAACTAAGTGTTCTGGTCTCAGTAATTTGTGAAACATGATAGTGATGATGTACTTTCAAGTACAGATTTATCAGGTAATATTTTCAGGATATCTAATCAAGGTTCTGGAGTGACATTGTGTAACTGCAGGTATGTTAATGATTATTTTAAATTACATCCATAATCCCTACTCGGATGTAAAACATATCAGGAAATATTTTCGGTACGCAGACTCCATTTCCATTGCTGTAGGGTTATGTATAAGTGAGGGTACGTAGCAAATATGTTGATTCTTAAGCCGTTTACATTTTATCTGTGAGTAGAATTTGTGTAATACTATAGACAAAAGAAAGGCTCAATGCTGGAACTTAATATGATTCACTTGGTCCGAGCGTTTGCATAACAGTGTATTATAAACCTACATGAGTAGTGTGTTGCTTGTCTGTTTGTGGGACTGTGGCTCATTGGTTTAGAGAGATGATTTTCAGTCAGTGGCTCACGGGTTCGAGCCTCACTTTATCTACTCTGGTTTGGATAGCCAGGTAGTATCACTAGCCTCCACAGAAAAGGTGTGACTCATTGCACGAATGTTCATAAGGCTGCTAAGTGCTTTTTAAAGAAAATGCAGCTGTTTTACACTTGCTCAGCAGATCTGCTTTCATATCTGGAAGTACGAAAAACTTAATGCCAAGCATATTGTATTCTGCAGATTCTAAGTATTCATGTTAGTTGCTGTTTGAAGTTAAAAACAGTCTGTTTTGTGTCTTTTCAGGAAAGTACTTCATTAGACTTTCGTCTAGGCCAAGGTGCTAGTCAGCTGGACAGTTTACTTCTTTCACAGGACTCAACGTTTCAAGGTGCAACTGTACCTCCCAGCAAAAGGAATTTGCAGAGGGGACCGGCTTTATATCATCCTGGAAGTGAAGACCATACCGACATGAATTTTGAAGCCGTTTTGGTGAATGGATCTGAGATTGAAAATATTAGTATCTCTCAAAATGCTGTCAGCTGTGCGAGCAGTGGTGCACCGCTGTCGCAGTTTTAGAGAACTCATTCGGCTTAGTTTTGAGCCGGATAATCACGGTCACGAACAAGCATATAGTTTCTCAAAGAGGATGTGTGTTTACAGACATCCTCAGAAGCAACGACGGAAAAAAATCGATTAACTTCAAAATGAATGGACCAGTGAATCTCCGTTCATATACATGACCTCTAATGACTTGGTCACATAGTTATGAACAAATGTTGGTGTTCTCCTTTTTTATGCTTACAAGTGGTGCACTCCGAAGATTGCACTACTTGCCTTAAATTTCTGGATATACTGATTTATCCTATAATTGGCTTAAAGATATGTTTATTTTCACGATAAATTCTTTGATATATAATGGGTTTACTTTATCCTTACCCTTCTCACTTCCTTTGATTTGTCTTATAAGAAATGTAGAAGTACTAAATTGTGTATAGTTTTTATTTTGTGAAGAAATTAGGAATCTAGTCAATTCGTACAACTCGTTGCTCTAGTCCTGTTTTTCTGTAGTCGGAACGTAGCTTCAAGTACAACTTCTTCATTTCCTCGAGGAACTGCGGATCGTTTAGACTAAAATGCAAATATTAGCTTTTTATCATTTTTCTCACTGTTGCTTGTTGCACTCCAGCGCTCGGTGGAAGTCTTGGCGACATATGTATAACGCTGTCCATTGGTACTTCTTTGTACAGTCCGACCATTCTAAATATGCATTTTCTTTTAAATAGGAATATTTACCATCCCAAAACTTCAGGCAATGTTTTGTTCTGAGTCTGTCATGCATTAGTGCAGGTATAATGCTCTCCTCTTCAACTCGACTTATCTCTTCGTTATCGGGATCACCTGAAAAGAACATCAAATTACTTGTACGTAATATTTTAGATCTTAACGTTAAGTACATCACTAGACTACATTTCGTTGATTTGTGTGCAGATGGGTGGGAGCTGTATTATAGCTGATCCCATATATAGTTTACTTTTTTTTCACAAAGTTAGTCACATTTATACTAAAAATGACTTACCTAGACCGAGAGGACCACTTTTATCCTGCGACGGTAATAGAATGAATTCTACGCTTTCACGTCTGAAAAATTGGTTGCCCATCTTCGGTGGTCATCGAGTGTGTAACTGAAAAAGATAACTTAGTTCATTTATTTACAGTGTAGTGCTGTCGGTTAGTGTAACACGATAGATAATTTCACATGTTTGTAAATAACAAAGTCAATCGCAAGAAGTATGCAAATAAGAGTTTTTCTTCTAGAAGTGATGCCTATGGTGGTGAGAGTGATTTACACTTTCTACCTTACCTAAAGTTATTACTTTTGTCCAAGTGTGTGCGAAAAATCTGAACACTTGCCAACCAACGATTTCTCCAAAACCTGGCGAGTACCAAATCGGTTATATCAAGCTTCAGGGGTTTCAGCGCTGGGCTGTACCAGTTGTTCGACCGAATTTCATACGCCAGTTTCGGTTGCCAGCTTTGAGGCAATGAATGTCATGCGTATCTAAGGGACCAAGTTTGCAAGTCAAATTATCAAAACCTGTTTTTTGATTAATCTGAAGTCGTATTGTTTGAAGTCATCACATTTTGCAATAGTACAGAGAAAATCCACAAGAACGGGGAGCTTTCTTGTAGTCATAGGAAGATAACGAAAAAGAGCAACAAGGATTTGCGTAGCAAATGAATTTATTCGTCTCACGAACTACACCTAGGTAGCTTAAATGGCTCAATTCAACAAGTCAGTGAATTAATTAACGTTGCGACTTGTGATTCTTCAGCTGATGTTATATGAAGGAAGTGGTGACTCACGTGTATCATTCAGGGGATCTACTATTCTGAGAAAAGAACAAATAAATCTTCCTAGTTCTTATTTACCCAGAAATATATCACTGGTCAACAAACTCACCTAAAACATTAGGATGAGCACCTAGAAAGTAGAGGGAGAATAGATGCCATTGTTTCTTGTTACTAAGTTAGTTCAATTAAAGCATTTCTCTACTGAAGTCTATCGACACTTCGAGTACTTCAAGGTCAGCCTTCGGACCATGTTCGGACGTGGCCTGATATTTATCGAATAGATGACGTAGGCAAGTATTTGAAGCAAATAATAATACTTATTAGTTCTAGGGAATTAAGATGTGAAGTTTATTTTGAAAGCAAGGTTCAGTTAGTGTTCGTAAGGCCTGCTTTTAAGTATTAGGTGAACATGATTTTTAATCGGGATTGCTTTGATGTACTATAAGGTTTTTAATGATACGCTTGCACACGAAGAGGTTTTTATTTCGGTAACATTTCGAGCACAATTACTACACATGAACAGTTGGGGTTTTCTTAACCCAGGTGTCACCAAAATAAAGCCTTATCATTGTGCGTAGACTCGTCATTAAATCACACATCAATCGGTTCCATAATGCACGGACGTCTACCGATATACCTTTTAGTAGTTAACTCGCAAAATATCTAAAAGTTCAGAAAACTTGGTTCCGCAGACCCATATTCTAAACACAATATAATGCATTTTCTTGTATTACCTCGAATAAACAAACCTGGATTTTGTAGGTCATTACATCTAGGACGTTGAGCATATTTTAAACCTGAAGATATTTTTTCGCCGCTAATATGATGAAAAAATGCGGAGCTATCGCCCTGACAACAGAAAATCAAATCAACAAATTTACAATGACTGACAAAAACAAGGTAGAATATCCCACATAAGTGCATCGGCTTAAGGTGGCACACTTCACAATAGTACAAAAAGAGCAGCTGGACAGGAAAAAGAAGTGATATCAAAAAAGATAAAGTAGTGTGAGGGAACTAAGAGTCAGAAGATAGCGGTTAGTGCGAATATTCAGATTTAAGATGTCAAGGAGTGAATACATTTGCGTAACTGTGACCGACTTTCAGCCACATCACCAAGAGTTTTCAACCACTGATTCCTTTCGTCTTGAGAACCCCAGTTAGGCAGTCTTCATCTCCCCATACGACTCAGGCCAACGGTGAGAGACTTCATCAACTGGTGCCACGTCTTGACCTGGTCCTTCTGAACCTTCTTTCAACTTAATCTCCAGCTACACATAGAAGTAGGCAGTGTCTCGGTATGCGCAGTACATGCCCAAGCCACCTTAGACGATGAAAGCTCACAACCTCATCAATCGACTTGCCGCTCTGGTCTAGTACCCTTAGCCCGACCTCAGTATTCTTCACATAGTGATTCCACCACATGCAAGCAATGCTACGAAGACATCTATCATCAAAATCCCTTAGTCGCTTCATCTCGTCTACTTCAAACAACTGTCTAACAGCCCTACAACAAGACACAACCAACTGCAGCACAGTATACTCGTCCTTTGATACACTAGTCAGATATCTCACCATTCTGTACCAAAAGTGATGCAAGTGACAAACACGCTTTATATTCGAGCTGAGATTTCGTCAGCAACCACCCCGTTCGGTGGGCTGATGCAACTTCCCAAGTGGGTGAAGCATTCGACACATTCCACCACTTCACTCCCTCCCTACCATTAAACGCAGTATTGTAGTAGACCACTCCTGGAGCATCATCTAACACGTGTGAAACGCATACCAAATATACACATATTTCTGCTCAACACCTTCACAAGACCCTTCATTGCGTCGGCGTCTTCACCTAGCGAACACCACTGGTTGTCATCAATGTACACGATAAATGTCCATAAGCCCTGAGATACGACTGCATGGGTTCGAATGGAGAGCCGTGACTAGCGTTATATGCCTGTTTAATACTTCCTTCACAGTCAGACACTGCCACAACACCTCGTGGTCGACAGAGTGGAGTGATGTCTCTAGGTCAAGAAATATGCCAAGTGCTGGACACTGGCCGGAAGGTATGTCTGTCTTCCACAACCCGTCGGAAGATGAAAATATGATCGATGCATCCTGGATCAGGTCTGAAACCTGCCTGGTTTTCTCGAGTTCCAGTTAGGCGTCGGATAACTATAGACCCTAGGATATTGGTCAAGCTATTTCCCCTATCGTTGTCACAAGCAGATCTCTCCCCCTTCTTATAAACTGGGATGATCAGTGAAGTAGACTAGTCCAACGGCAACACCTGATTCCTATATACTACCTAGTACCTTCCTCACAATTATCAGCTGTTTCCTACCTCCACTTTGAGTGGCGAACTGTCAGGTCTTGCTGTTTTGCAACGTTTTAGGTTCGACACAGCTGATTTGTCGTTTGTAGGCGATGATTATGAACAGGCATCGCCTAGTTTTACGATCCTTTCTAGTTCTCACAGATTCATCCAGCCGAACACCATAGAGACGATTGTAAACTAGTATGCAGTCGGGAAACGCACTTCCTGCCCTACAGCTCAATGCTATACCTACACCAGTAAGTTCACGAGTGCTAACCACTGGGCCCTCGGATACTCTTAAGGTAAGATTTGAAGATTCACCGCACTGGTCAGGTGAAATTAATTTAATAATCACACTTGAGTCATGTAAACGTGTCTCAGAGACAGCATACATGCATGGCTAGAGGTTGGAGAGTTCTGGTGAACGAGGCTTGCGGTCTGATTCGGTATACAGTTCGAACGTTGAAAGCTCCTACATGAAATCGATGACGGGGTGAAATTTCGATAGCTTTGATCATTGGCAATGGCTGCAGGGTGGTAGGTTGGGTAGAGCATTACAGGATTAACATTAGTATCAGGAGGCAGTTGAGGAATATAGGTTGTGTTTGATTGAGTCGCGTTTAATGCTGGAAGCGTGTAGGCTTTTGGTACTCCTCGGTTCCCCACACCATGGAAGACCAGTTCTTCTTAAGGTACCTGAAGAATAAGGGAAATTCTGTGACCGCAGACTTCAAAGGACATCTGCTTAAGGCCGGTCACACACCGCCTTTTGGCAATTTTGAGATTTCAGTGTTTTCCTCTTGAATCCGACTATGAAGGCTTGTTGCTGGCATCGGGGTGTCACGAAGGGTGGGAGTGTTATTTTTGTGGCTGACCTTTTATAACCCCCGTTGCCGTTGAGAAAGGAGCATCAGCGTGGCACTGTTGGTCATTCAACGGAAACACCTTACTGCTACCACACCCCATCCAGCTAGAAGCAGTACAACTTCGCTCTGAGACCCCCATCGTAATGTAGTGATTTAAACTGCAACGATAACTGCTTTTAGTCTCGCCACTATCCATCAGACCTTTCTGGTATGGTAGGACCTCTAGTGAGTAATCGTTCCAGCCAGTGTAGCTCGTTGGGTCATTGTGATATACTAAACCCGACCACCGCATCACGGTAGCAGCTATCGGTCAGGGTATTTAACCACAAGCTTCACTGGCTTTGATATTTAGATCTGATAATCATCTAAGGAAGATAGATATGAGATGCGTATGCCTGCAATATCACTATACTTTGTGCTTCGGTTCTGCATGCTCCGAAAGAATGGTGCTTTCAGCGTTCGAGTCAAATAATCTGAAGTCAGACGTCTTCTGAATAACCTTACAATGAGTGAAGATTAGGTACATATTAGGAAGTGAATCGGAGGACATATGCGAAGCTGCGAAATGGCCAACCAAATGGAATTTAAAGACAGCTACTCATAGACAGCGTTTTAAGATTTTAGCACCATAGAGAAGTTGAGAATAGTACTCATTAGACTGAACACTGGTGGGTGAATGAGTGTTTGCACCGTGAATACTGATACAACTCTGTGGCGAATTCATTTCGATGAAGATTTCCGAAATAAAGTGGCACAGCTCTCTTTTTTTTTTCAATGTTCCTCTAGTTGGTGACGATCCGTGATAAATACTTTGACAGCGGACTGAACGTCTCGAACATACATACATGTAGAACAATGGGACCTGACGCTTTGCCAGCGCGTATGTCCAGTATTAATAGGAAACCACTGACTAGAGTGAGTTACTAGCTAGTGTACGGGAAACAGAACCAGTTTTATTTGTCTCACCCAAACCGTTTTACAAGGAAGGAGAGAAGTTTTCTGTGATAGCCACAGAGGAACCAGACTAATATCGTACCTAAGATCCTAGCGACCATAGTTGTCCAATGCGTAACTTCCTTCTTGTTTCCCACTGGTTGTCGCTATTACCGTTAGCAGAGCTGCA